ATTTGAAATAAAACTGATTTTTTTTTTTTTTTTTTTTTTTTAAACCAATGGCTCGGTGGCCTTTAAAAATAGCCTGGAGTTAGGCTTAAAAAAAAAGAAATAATATGGATAAAAAATAAACAAAAATTAATTGTATGTCCTTTTTATTTCTAGTTTAATAATAAAATAAAACCGACTCCAAACCCTTAAAAGGCAGTAATATTGGAAAGGATAATATAAGTACTCCAGTGTCAGATGACGATTGTATAGGTCAAGCATTTAATTTGTCCAGTTACACAGTCTTTTTTTCCTGGGAGTGGAGATGTAAGGCTGATGGGGTAATTACGGCCTGTACTGGGGGTATTGCAGTTTGTACTTAAAGGAAAACTCAAATTTCATACAAAAAAATGATATAGCGTATAAAATCCCTACAGAAGATATTTTGTAATTTAATGTTAATAAAAATTACTTTTCCATTTCAATGTGAAGCCGATGTAATTTTCTTAAACTGTTAAAAAAATTCAATGAAATATGGCAATCTGGAGGCATCTGTACACTGATAGTGTATGAAATATAATTTCCTGCTGGTGTGATTGGCTGACTGATTTTCCCAGAACTCTGCACCAAGATACAAATACGGCATCTCCAATAGAAATGTCATTTTTATATTGACTATTGTAACAAAATACAATGATGGACTTTTTAGGCATCCGCACGACCATCATGAACAACTGTTTTAATTCCCAATGCATAGTTTTTAGTTTATAGGATATTTTTCACAAGTAATAAAACACATTGTTTTATTATAGAAATAATTAGGAGAAAAGATTGATCTCCAGGATGTCTAATATAAATTGCTGTATCATGTATGTGTCTTTTTATGATTTATTACAAAGCTTGATGTACGCTATATACACACTCACTGGCCACTTTGGCAGGTACACCTTGCTAGTACCGGGTTGGACCCCTTTTTGCCTTCAGAACTGCCTTAATTCTTCGTGGCATAGATTCAACAGGGTGTTGGAAACATTCCTCAGAGATTTTGGTCCATATTGACATGATAGAATCACGCAGTTGTTGCAGATTTGCACATCCATGATGCAAATCTCCTGTTCCCCCACATCCCAAAGGTGCTCTATTGGATTGAGATCTGGTGACTGTGGAGGCCATTGGAGTACAGTGAACTCATTGTCATGTTCAAGAAACCAGTTTGAGATGATGTGAGCTTTGTGCCATGGTGCATTATCCTGCTGGAAGTAGCCATCAGAAGATGGGTGCACTGAAGTCATAAAGGGATGGACATGGTCAGCAACAATACTCTGGTAGGCCGTGGTGTTTAAACTATACTCAATTAGTACTAAGGGGCCCAAAGTGTGCCAAAAAAATATCCCCCACACCATTACACCAACACTACCAGCCTGAACTGTTGGTACAAGGCAGGATGGATCCATGCTTTCATGTTGTTTGTGCCAAATTCTGACCCTACCATCTGAATGTCGCAGCTGAAATCGAGACTCATCAGACCAGGCAACGTTTTTCCAATCTTCTACAGTATTGTCCAATTTTGGTGAGCCTGTGCGAATTGTAGCCTTTGTTTCCTGTTCTTAGCTGACAGGAGTGGCACCCGGTGTGGCCTTCTGCTGCTGCTGTAGCCCATCTACTTCAAGGTTCGACGTGTTGTGCATTCAGGGATGGTATTCTACATACCTTGGTTGTAGTGAGTGGTTATTTGAGTTACTGTTGCCTTTCTATCATCTCAAACCAGTCTGCCCATTCTCCTCTGACATTAGCAAGGCATTTTCATCCACACAACTGCCACTCACTGGATATTTTCTCTTTTTCGGACCATTCTCTGTAGACCCTAGAGATGGTTGTGCATGAAAATCCCAGTAGATCAGCAGTTTTTGAAATACTCAGACCAGCCCATCTAACACCAACAACTATGCCATGTCCAAAGTCAGTTAAATTACTTTTGTTCCCCATTCTGATACTCAGTTTGAACTTCAGCAAGTCGTCTTCACCACGTCTAGATGCATTGACTTGCTGGCATGTATTTGGCTGATAAGCAATTTGTGCTACCAAGCAGTTGAACAGGTGTACCTAAAAAAGTGGCCGGTGAGTGTATGTTTCTATTTATTCATACATATTTTTGAAATGTATCAAAGGTTGATGTGTGAGGCGATGCAAGGTGTTGCTGGGTGCCTGGCTGGTAGATGAGCATTGGAGGTGTGGATTGCTGCTCAGCCCCACTGCTAAATGCTGTTTTAGGCCATCTGCCCTTTTTTTCTATAGGCTCGGTTCCCTTTTACATCTCCCCTTCCTTTGCCCTCTTTTTTTCTGCCTTTCTGGGGGGGTGCCCTGGCGAGGTTGGCATGGGCCCAGGCATAGTGTAGAGGGGAAGTGCCCGTTTGGACGGATATGTGCGCAGGCGTGGAGCCGGGATGAGCGATGCATCTAGTGCACATGCGCTGATTTCTCTGGCGCACGCGCAATGAGCCTCCCCGTTGCCGGCTGTGTCACCTCTGATATCATTGTTGGGGTGGGCTCGCCGGTGGACATATAAGGCAGGCCTTCACAAACAGCCTCTGGCCACGATACTGACATGAGACTAAGCAGGACGCCCTGGATGAGATACCAAGGATGTGAGAAGGACGAACAAGAGGAGGACATATGATGGATATGTAAGACACTAGATGTGGGCCAGCTGTAATGTCTAGAAATTGGAATATACAGCCCCCCTATATCACATATGGTAGTTACATGATTTCCCTGTCTTCTTCAACCAGGCAACACTGTTGGGGTCCTACTATCTATAAGATTTTTAACTGAAAGATCCGGCAGCTTTCATATCCTGTGTCCTTAGTGTCTGACTCCATCCGGCCCCTTGTTGTCTATCTGGAGGGATACTTGCTGGTAGGTGATTACGTTCATATAGAAACATTAATGCTGAGATAGATGGTAATGATAACATTTTCGGTAGGAAATGAGTAGGCTGCAACAAGCATGTCCTGGCGCCCGCCCACCTGTTTTGAGGCACCAACACTCGATCATTTGGGGAACCTGTTAGACGTGGATGTTATGTATTCGACTCAAACCTAACAAACATATGCATGTTATTTATATTAATTGATTAGGATGTATTGAAGGCATTTACTTTGTGCTACATTTTTTTGAGGTAACTAATTATATGTATTTAGTAGTTATTGCCCTTTTTCTCCTGAAGAAGCAGTTGAGACCGTGAAACACGTTGAGATTATCATATCCCTTCATATACCTCTATCAACTCATACCAGTTTCATATACAAGTGGACAGTTTTTTGAATGAACTTGTAGAGGTGAAATGCATATATAGGCAATGAATTGATTGTGGGCATTAATGATTTTATCAATTATGTTTTAAATGATGGAATTAACAAATGTATCTATTTTATCATCATTTGCATGATGGTCGTGTGGATGCCTAAAAGGTCCGTCTTTGTATTTGTTACCATAGAATGTACTAATGTGGGATGTGGCACCCCTTAAACCTCCCTTAATCACTTACATTTTGATGAGATTCTCACTAAGGTTAAACTACTTCTAAAGGGATTCTGACAATGCAGCTTTCCTCAACATTGAATGTGGTTATAATGAACCCAGCCCTCCAAGTCAGGAATCTTTCTTGACTTCCTGCCTGCTAAAATGGTTTTCCCCAGACAAGAAGTAACAGCCTCATCCTCATAGTCAGAAATATCAGTTGTTTTTTTTAAATTACGTAGGGTATGCTAGAACCCTTTTCAGCTTTTTATTGTTGTCTGTTTGGCTGATGCATACATTTTGGATTTTTGGGTATAGATACAATTTAAAGATTTCCAAAGTTGATAGATGACAGTTGCCTAAGCCAGCCATTTTTGTTTGAATCTGGAGACAATCTCATGTCTGTGTATGTCCAAGGCAGCCCAACCTTGTCAGAGAAGGCGATCAATTAGTAGTAGTTTAGAAAACTGATCCAAGATGGTGGCCATTGTGCATTGAAGACATGCAAGTCTGACTTCCTGCTTGCTCACCTGATGCTGAGCTGGGCACAGTCCAGAATTTCTCCATCACAGTTCCATGTGCTGTTGACTGAGTCCTCCCCACAGGGGCAAACAAATGGGCGTTTCTGGCGACGAATTACCTCGTCATCATCAAGCTGCTCGGGGGTAAATCTCAGGGCGTGGATCCGATGAACTTTCACATTAGGCAAAGCAAACTGTCATTAAAAAAAAATAGTTATGTAATATCATAAGATGTATTCATTAATAACAGTACATTTAAAAATAGTTATTTATGGAAGTCACTATAAAAATAATCTTAAAACTGATGTCCAGGAAAACAGCTAACATGTGAAATGCATATGTATAAACTTTCTAGCCAGACAATAGATTTATAATTCTGTTCAGCCAGTCTTGTAGTGTGGGCACCTTTGCCAGGCAGCAAACTAACAAGTCAGTCAATAAAAGTGGAGTTACTCTTTAATTATGTATTAATGGTCACACAGCTGCATTAATTTGTGTCTTTTATATCTACCTGGAGTTCAGCTTTCAGTTGCAGCCCCTCTCTGCAGAGTCCCGTATTAAAGGAATACTCAACATGGATTTATGGGATGGTATAAATTATATAGATGTTCTCAGTGTCATGTGGTGGAGAGGAGAATTCCCCTGTCACGGCAGAGAGCCGTGACAGGATCGAGAGGTGAGCGAACGCCGGTATGTGTTTGCTCACCTCCCGATCTACTGAGTCGACCTGTGACAGTCTCATTGTCACAGGTCGGCTAAAACTATGAGGTGAGTGAAAAGCACTTACCTCATAGTTCTCCTTTAACTCTGTGTGAGCTCTGACACAGACCAACATGGAGCTTATATAGAGATTAGACTCAAGGCCCTGGCAGGCAAACATGGCAGAGGAGGGAGCATAGTGCAGGTAAGTATCAGTGGATGGGTGGGGGAGTGGGCTATCAAGAGAACCTGTCACTTTAGTGTTAATGAGCAACAGAAGAGAACCTCCTTTTCAAACAAAATCCTGCCATTGAAAAAGTAAATTTTTCATATTTGATATGTGAATCTTTCTAGAGATGTTTGAACATATATTTGCCTCTGCAAATGCCGTTGAAACATCCAGTGTCGTTACAATAGTGGCATTAAAATGAACTGCATTTTCACCTCTGAGTGAATACAGTTTTTCACTTCAATAACACAATATGATTAATGCCACGGACAATTGCTAATTATGAACAAGTATATAAGCAAACACAACCAAGTGAGGAAAATGTTCTTCTTTCCTCTCGATAAGCACAATCTCTCCGTACCTGGTCCTTGCCATTTGTATGCCTGCTGAGATGTTTTATGAACTGAAGGATGCTGCACTTTTGTACCATTATCAGATCAGCGGTGCCATCTGCCAGGTGTGCAGTTGGAGAAAGTCCATCCTGGCTCTTGGGGCAGGCACTGGACATGCCAGTAATGTTGAGAGCTGCAAAGGACCCAGTAACCGATTTCCAGTCTTCCAATTGGGAGACATCATCTGTTAGAAATATTAAGGATTTGAATTATTTTAGACTGACAAAAATCTTACTTTATTTTAAATTACTCCTATATAACCTATTTTATTTTCACAAACCCAGATTTTCTACCAACCTGTTCAGGAGGGACAGGGTTGGTAGAAGGGGGGAGGGGTATGCATGTATGTGAAAAACAATCTAACTGTGCACATACGAGATGACCTCATGATAGAAAATTGCAATGGTGTTGAGTCTTTGTACGTAGAACTAGATAAGACTAATTCCAGTTGTAAACATATTATAGGTGTATGTTACTAACCCCCGAACATAAGGTAAGAGGAGGATGCTCATTTACAAATAGAAA